AGGTCTTGCCGTAAGTGAGCCTCTGAATCTGCGAAGAGCAGCAAATCGTCCAGATAGGCCACCACTGAAATCCCTCTCAAGCGAATAGAAATCAGTGCCTCCGACAGAACCTTGGTGAATACTCTTGGCGAGGAGGAAAGGCCGAATGGAAGAGCCCTGAACTGCCAATGTCGAATTCCTTCCTCCCCCCCCCCACTGCCAACCTGAGGAACCTCTGAGAGGCTTCCGCCACGGGCACGTGTAGGTAGGCGTCCTTCAAGTCTATGGATGCCATGAATGCACCTGGCGGTATTAGGGACCTGATTGTAAAAATGGAGTCCATGCGGAACCTCCGGTAACGCACTGACCTGTTTAGGGGTTTCAGGTTCAAAATCAGTCTGAACGCCCCAGACGGCTTTTGAACCACAAACACATGGGAATAAACTCCCTTCCCTCGTTCCTCTACCGGAACCCTGGAGATGACCCCCTGGGACTCTAGAATCTCTAAAGCGCCCACCAGAGCCGCGTCCTTCATCGGATCCCTTGGACGGGTCGTCACCAGAAAAGTCTCGGGTGGCGGCCTTAGAAACTCCAACCGGTAACCCCTTCGGATGACATCCAAAATGAAGGGGCTGGTGACCACGGCTTCCCACTGTGGGAGGAATGCCGCCAATCTTCCCCCCACAGGAGGAACCAAGTCACCTTGGCTTTTGGGGCTGCTCAGGAGGGCGAAAAATCGCTCCCCCTCTTCCCCTACCTCTCTGTCCAGCAGACCTACCCTGACCAGGCGGTCGCAGGCTCAGCCTTTTTGCCGGGCGGGCCTTCCGTGTCCCCCCCTCCTGCATTTTCCTCTTGAGGGGGAAGGACTTCTTCCTATCAGCTGTCCGGTCCAATAACTCCTCCAACCCCGGGCCGAACAGACAGTCTCCTGTGAGGGGGATGCCGCACAACCTAATTTTCGAAGTGATGTCCCCCTGCCATGTTTTTAGCCACAGCGCCCTTCTGGCTGAGTTGGTCAGGGCAGCAGACCTGGCCCCCAACCTCACCGACTCTGCGGAAGCGTCCGCAATATACCCAACTCCTTGCAAAAGGGTCTCAAAAGAGGCCAAGATTTTTTCCTTAGGAGAGAGTCTGCCACAATATGGGCCTGTAATTGCGTAAGCCAATACTCTAAGTTTCTGGCTACCACTGTCGTAGCCATGGCCGGCTTCAGGTTGTACAGGGTCGAGTCCCAGGCCTTCCTAAGGAGAGACTCCGCCCTTCTGTCCAATAAGTCTGGTAAGACCCCCATGTCCTCAAACGCCAGATCAGTTCTCCTGGTCGTTTGGGAAAAGGCTGCATCTAGTCTAGGGCTCTTGTTCCAGACCGCCTCCGGGTCTTCCGAAAACGGAAATCTCCTTCTCAACGCCTTAGAGAAGAACGGCTTCCTTTCCGGGTCCTGCCACTCCTTCTTAATGGTGTCCACCAAAATGTCATGCACAGGAAATATTCTGTGCTGGTGCTCCTCCAACCCCTGATACATTTGGTCGTGGAGAGATAAGGCCTTAACCTCCTCCTTAATGTCCAGGGTTTCGTATATAGCCCCCAGGAGCTCATCTACCTCCTCTAGAGTCAATTTGTACCGGGGGGCCCCCTCCCTTCCTCCGAGGGACCCTCCCCCGCCGATTCCTCCTCAGACTGGGAGTCCCCCACTGGTTCCTCCCCGGTCATAAGGGGTTCCCGACGACTCACCGAAGCTACCTGGGGGGGGGGGGGGGGGAGTGTAGGTAATGGGAGGGCAAACCTCTCCATGAGGGATTTGAAGGAGTCGAAGGTGGTAGCCAACTCCTTCACTGACCTGGCTAGGTCCCCCTGTTCCGGCTTCTCCTCCCTCACCAACCCCTGTATACATGGGCCACAAAGAACCTTTCGCCAAGATTCTTTCAAAACTTCCTTACAGAAAGGGCATCTCCGCTTGGGCTCCTGGTGCCTAAGTTTAGCTCGGGCCTGCCCTGAAAGACACAAAAGAAAGGGGGGAGGAGGGAAGCCTAATCAGTCCAACACTAAACACACCCCCCCCCCCTGCTCCTTCCTGGCAGAGCAAAAAAGGGCCTGCAAATCCGCAGACCCCTTGCCCCACCTTCCCACCGCTAGGGGCCAACAGGTAGGGGAGGCCTCCACTGAGGCACCTTACCTGTGACTGGCTGGTGCTGGCATCTCCTGGTCCCGGTGCCTCCGACATCCCGTACCGGAGGGTGGTCGCCTGGCGCTGGTCTGTCCCCCAGACCGCTGTGCACCGCACCGCCTTTTTAAATTTCGCACCGCCGTGGTGTGAGGGCCGCGACCGGAAGCGGAAGTCGCAGCCCTGGGCGAAGCCTCGCCCCTTCCGCCGGAAACCGTCGTCTCCCGACGTCCGGCCCGGCAAAGTCCTCAGACCGCCAGCATGGGAAGGAGCGGAACTCCCCCCGATCCTCCCCAGATCTCACCACGGCCACCCCGACGCCCCCCCTCGCCGGAGAGGGTCGGGGGGCGAAGAGCAGGCAAGTGCTTTGTCCCGTCCCCCGGGATGCACTCTTACTGCCCGCAGCCTGCCCAGGGAGGATATGCAGCCGGACACTCCGGCCTTCACTCCCGGCTGCGTCGGGCCTCTCAGCCGGCTATCCGGCCCTCGGCTCCCCTATCGTCTGCCCTGCGCCTCCTCGTGTCTCCCCACCGGAGGAAACACCTGAACTGAGGTCAGAGGGGAGTGGAGCTTTTTTATTGTAGGTGGAGGTGTTTCCTCAGATGGGGAGGAGCCGAGGTCTCTCAGAGTGCTGGCCTGAAAGACGGTAGGGGAAAAAAAAAGTACACAGGGACACCCAGGGAGAAGAGTGTGTACCCCCCAGCTCCACATAGCCCAGAAGCACTCACCAGTTCATGCAGAAGAGCCAGAACCTACAATAACTAGACTCTTCCTCTGCTCCATAGACACACAACTTGGAAGCAAGCACGCATAATAAGTGGATTGCTATTACGGCACACAGAGGAGAAGGACCCAAGAGGAGGTGGTTTTCAGCCGCTTTATACCATTGCACAGAGCAGGTGAGTGTAACATTTTAATTTTAAAAAATTCAGCCCTTAGTAACACTTTAACCACTTACTGACCGTGCTATAGCCGAATGACGGCTACACCATGTTTGTCCAGTTCAGGGAGGGTGTCAAATGAAGTCCACGTGATCAGCTGTGTCCAATCACTGATGATCACGATGTAAACACACTTGGCGCTTATCGGCAGTACTTTCCTCACACTGTCACAGCGCGAGTAAAGTACTGCTGATAATCAGCAAGTGTGAAAGGAGCCATCTACACTGATAATCCGGTAACTGATTAACAGTGCAGACCCAACAGCGATGCCAGTCTGTGCTGCCTATTAGTGCCCATCATTGCCACCTTATCAATGCCCACCAGTGTCATCAATGCCCACCAGTGCAGCCCCATCAGTGCCCCCCATCAGTGCAGCCCCATCAGTGCCCCCCAATAGTGCAGCCCCATCAGTGCCCCCCAATAGTGCAGCCCCATCCGTGCCCCCCAATAGTGCAGCCCCATCCGTGCCCCCCAATAGTGCAGCCCCATCCGTGCCCCCCAATAGTGCAGCCCCATCCGTGCCCCCCAATAGTGCAGCCTCATCCGTGCCCCCCATAGTAGTGCAGCCTCATCCGTGCCCAATAGTGCAGCCTCATCCGTGCCCATCAGTGCAGCCTCATCCGTGCCCATCAGTGCAGCCTCATCCGTGCCCATCAGTGCAGCCTCATCCGTGCCCATCAGTGCAGCCTCATCCGTGCCCATCAGTGCAGCCTCATCTGTGCCCATCAGTGCAGCCTCATCCGTGCCCATCAGTGCAGCCTCATCCGTGCCCATCAGTGCAGCCTCATCCGTGCCCATCAGTGCAGCCTCATCCGTGCCCATCAGTGCAGCCTCATCCGTGCCCATCAGTGCAGCCTCATCCGTGCCCATCAGTGCAGCCTCATCTGTGCCCATCAGTGCAGCCTCATCCGTGCCCATCAGTGAAGGAGAAAAATTACCCGTTTGACAAATTCTATAATAGAAACTAAGAATAACTTTTTTTTTTCCTTACCAACATTTTCGGTCTTTTTTCGTTTGTTTAGCAAAAAATAAAGCACCAGTGGTGATTAAATACCACCAAAAGGAAGCTCTATTTGTGTGAAAAAAAATGATAAAAATGTCATATGGGTACAGTGTTTCATGACCGCGCAATTGTCATTCAAAGTGCGACAGAGCTGAACGCTGAAAATTGGCCTGGGCAGGAAGGAGGTAAAAGTGCCTGGTAGGCAAGTGGTTAATACTCACATCAAGAGATGCAAAACCTAACCAAAGCACAATGCAACTTTACAGGTGAAATCTATTCAGAGATACAACAGTGAAATTGTTACAACTTTCTACTACAAAAAGGAGTTGCAGAGTTTGGAGGAAGAGTCAAAATATGAGACTCCAGGTTCTTGACACCACCCTGCCTTTCAGTTGTAAAGAAACACACTTTGTATCTGAATCTTTTTTTTTTTTTTTTTTTAATTGAAATGACGTAACAGTAACAAATATATAATTTGAACAGCAGTCATTTCTCAGGCTGTCCAAAAGAACACACTTTAGTCTGCAATGGCTTGTTGAAAAGTCTTAAGCTGGCCATAGATGTGTACAGTTTCAAATGAAAATTGTTAATAGAAAAGTTCTAAGAAAGTTAATTTGTTTTTCTAATCGTTAATGGGATAAATTGATGTTCATTTTTGACCGCAATGTAAAGAAAATTCAAAGGAGCAGGATGGAAAATTAATTTCGGACACATTGGAAACAGTGTTTGTGGTTTTCGTTTTGGTAAAGTCCATTCATTCGAAATGTTAAAAGTAAATAAAATCTTTAGAATGACATTCAAATGTTCTGAGAATTTTCATACAAGTTTTCTTACGACTTTTCCTACAAATTTACGGCAAGCTTCAGAAAAAAAAAAAAAAAAAAAAGCAAAGAAAATGATAGCAAAAAGATTTTACCTCAGATGTAAGCTTGCTGGACACTGTACTCTCAAGAGATGATGAGCAGTATAGTTGTAATGTTCCCAGTACAGGCAAACACTGCGATACTGTAAGAGTCGACAGCCTTAGAGGTCCCATCGCTATACGTGCGGTTTGCTTCAAGTGTCTGCCGAGACTTCTGCAATAAAGAATATGCTGTACTGTAATATTTGTACTTAAAGTACAAGGCTGTAAACATGTTCGTGAGTGAAACTTGCTCTACTCCCCCCCAAACCCCACAAAAGGCCAGTAGCAATTTTGTGAGATAAACCAGCTCTTACAAGGATCTGCCCAGTCAATTTCAAAAGGTCTAAATCTCTCAACCAAATGGCCCAAATGTAATGTAATGTTCCAGAGCAAGACATGAACAACAGAAAGTGGATCTTTAATAGGCCAATTTAAGAGGGGAAAAAAAAAAAAAAAAAAAAAAAAAAAAGGACATTTTTGTTTCTCAGCAAAATGCCATACCATATAAAGTGTGTATAAAATTAACAGTGCTATATAAAGTACCTATAATAAAAAAGATAAGAAATATACACCACTATAGGTGCTTTCCTTTAGGCGACTGGACAGTGGCAAGCTTTTAAAGGACCTCGCCCCCCCCCCCCCCCCCCAAACACACACACACAAAAGCTCCTCTTACATAACCCCACAACACTCCATTAATCCTCAGTTTTGTTGCAAGCAATGCAGAGTAAACCAACAAAAGGAAGGGAGAGTGGCTTGTGTCCTGTACTGAATTTTGACCTACCAGTTAATTCCTTAGAATTAACTGGTAGGTCAAAACTCCTTTTATGTCAATTGTACAGTACAAGACACAGGCAAGGTATATTCATAAAACGAACAGCGGGCAACTAGGAAAATAGAGCTGTGCCAAACAGCTGAAAAAATCATAGGATTGCAAAGACCCAAGTTAAGAGTGCTGCTGTGAAGACCTTGCTGCAAAAAGCAGCATCCATAGAAAACTGTACTTTCACCTGACTAAGTATAAACAGAAGACCAGGTGACAGCCTTACACAGTTGGGCTGCAGAGGTTTGGTGCCAAAATGCCCAGGAAACTCCCACCAATCTAGTGGAATGCGCATGTAACAGTGCACATCCCTGCAAGGCACTCAGTACAGAACAGGGAAGCCTGGCTCTGACTATGTCCAAGCATGGTAGAGACAATTCCTTTGGATGCTTAGAAGCAGGGCACAGAGATGGCAGAACAGTGTCCTTATTAAGGTGCCATGCAGAAGCCACCTTTGGTGGTCATAGGCGCAAGACAGTCTTCTTGTTATGAAGTACAAGGAAAACTGTTTACAGGAAAGGGCCATCTGTTCATAAAACACATCTGCCAGACACGATAACTACCAAAAAGGCTACTTTGCTGGCAAGAACCTCCAAGAGAATCTCCCTGATGGATTCAAAAGGTAGTTTCTGCAAAACACAAAGAACCAAAAAGGTCCCAGGTAGCACAGGGTACTGCAAGAGGAACCTGATATAGCACACTTGGAATAGAGTTTTTTTTTTCTTTTTTTAAGAAAGGTAAAAGCCAGAGGCCTTTCAAAGAGGATGGATAAGACAGATACCTGCCATTTAAGGGTGTCTAGAGCTAGGTTTTGGTCAAGACCTGTTTGTAGGAAGGCTAGAATAAAGCACAGAGTAAGCTCTGGGACTGAATTGACTGTATTCACAACTAGCACAATAGGATTTCCAGGTATGATAGCTGATTTTCCCAGAAGTGGCTTTTCTTGCTTTTAGCAAGGTAGGAATCACAGATTCAGAAATCCCTCTATCCTTTTAGACCTGTGTTGCAACAGCCATGCCAATAGAGCCAGGGACTGGAAAGCACGTTGGAATAGAGGGCCTTGAGATTGCAGATCTGGATTGTTGGTAAGAGGCCAGGGATGGTCTGCTAGAAGTTTGTATCAGGTTCTACTGAGGCAGTTTGGTACAAAAAGAATCACCATTGTCCTCTCTTGCTCTATTTTGTGGCGCAGGAGAGGCAAAATTTGTAGTTTAGGGAAGGAATACATTTTCCAGAGTTGAGAGCAGGGGATTAGAGAATCCAAGCTCAGGGCTAGAGGTTCTGGCTACAAACATTGGTAACGTTGTTGTCCTCCATCTTTGGCATATCAGATTGAACATGTCTGGATGAAGAGACCATCCCTATTGGTCCAAGCAGTGGCGGCTGAGATAATAAACCTGCCAGTTGACCAATCCTGGGATGTGGACCCCAGAAATTGCTGTACAGTTTTCCTTCAACGCAGTCACAATCCTCATGCTCCCTTGATGTTTGATATATACCAATGTGGTCGCATTGTCTGAGCGTACCTAAAATGGGTTTCCCTTTAGGAAGGGGGGCCAGTGCTGGAGGGACAATGGGATTGCTCTGAACTCCAAGAAGTTGATGGGGACTTTGGTTTCTTTTCTTGACCATGTTTTCTGAACTGTCAAGGATTGGAAGACTTCTTCCAAGCAAGACAGATTTGCATCTGCTGTAAGCACTTTCCAATTGTAAAGAAGGAAAGATTTTCCCACTGTTAGAGCTGGAGCAGTAATCAACCAGGACAAGGAAGCGCTTTCCTGGATAGGCGCATGGGTACGTCCTGCTTTTTCCATGATAATAGAATGTTCTGTTGAAAATTGCAAAAGTATAACTATACCATTACAAGCATCACACTGAATTAATCACATGAATTGGTGAAGTGCCATACCCGTGAGATGCTTCAGCTCTCCAAGCTTTTAGTCATATGATTCTGTGCATATAGAGATTAGAGCCATTTTAGATATGTGTTTGATGACGTATTACATAGTTAGTCTGACTGAAAAAAGACAAAAGTCCATCCAGTATTCCAAGGCATCTACACAAAAAACAGAGCAGGAGGCAATTGCTCTAATTCATTGTCCCAGATCACTGTAGCTGCAGTTCAACATAAGAAAATTCGCTATGAGAGCTGGTTGCAGGGCTGGACTTGCCAGGATAAAAAAAACACTGCAATAATGGCAAAACAGACCATGCGTTTTCGGATGCCATTTATGTTTAATGGCCCCTCAAACATGATGCGGTTTTACAGTGCCCTCAATCTCCTTTGTTTATCTATAAAGAAAAACATTTACCAAAGCCCCCCCAACAGGACTGTTAATAAAAAAAATGAAAAAAAAAAATTGTAAAAAAATCCCCCCCCCCCCAAAAAACTGACACCATCCATTGATCTTGTGGCACTGTGCACATCTCATCCACTGTCTTACTGACACTGTCCACTGCTCTTCTTCCATTTTTAAGGTATGCCAAGTTTATATTTTTACAGTGACAGGTTATATTAGATTTTCCTTACTATTTGATTATGTCTTGCTCGTTAATTTCTTATGGTTGTTCCACCACTCAAAAAAGGTTGCCCACCCATGCTATAACCCATTATGTAAGAATACTGTGTCCTCTACTATATGATTAAAATAGACTGATTTTATTCGGTAGGCTGTAAGCTGTGTCCCTGAAGTAGCTAAAGAATCGGACGCCGACATCAGTGTTAGGACAGGTCCTGCTTCGATGCAAGAGATCATATGCGGTGCTGGAATGCGATAGAGCGAATGTTCACCAGCAATTTGAATTGGCTCCCTTTCTCCTCGTCTCCACCATAGCTACAAGTGCAGGAAATAGGGCGAGCATGTCCAGAAGGAGTATGCAGTATTCCAGGTGTGTACCAGCCTGCAATGAATCCTCATGATGAAACGGTGGAAGGAAGAGTCTGAGTTATAAGGGCTCTAGGCAGAAATGGCATTAAAGTGTGTGACCAGTGGTGTGATGTAACACCTGCTCATCCAACTGAGTCTGAACTTTGAGTGGTTTGAATTTTTAACCCCAAGCTTGAAAAGTTTACATGGTTTTCAACGGTCAGAGATACAGGGTGACCCTATCTTACCTGTCCACAATGCTGGACTGTATATAAAGTCCAGGCTTCACACTTCACGGTGGGCATATCCACAAAAGGGTCTTCAAGTACTGGGTTTCATGGCGTGGACCATGGCTTTGGACCTGTATAGCATCCTATGTCTGACAACATGTTGCACCAAAAGCCAACAGCATGGGGTCTGGCTATGGCTCCCAGTATTTCACACCTATCTGCATACACTGCTTTTGAGTAGGCAATAGAAGACAATGAAGTGTTGATTGAAGAATTCAAAGTAAACAATAAGGGAAAAAATGGACATTTCCTTTGCAAAGGAATCAGCTTCACTAGTTATCACCTTCATACTCTGAAGAACTGATTTACAGAGTGGGTAAGGGTTATAGGGAATTTGCCCAAGCTAGGGGGGATGGGGCATCCTCAAAAGACTTGCTCCTAGTATGTAATTAGCATGTAAGGACGTTAAGCAAAAACATGTAGAAAATCTCACAGGCAGTGGCAAATAAGGTACATGTAAAAAATCTGCTCACTCTGAAACGGATTGCCACTTCTGCTCTTGGTCTGCATCATTTAAAGCTAGGCTGACGCACACAGAACTTCTTAGCAGCTGAACCTCTATACACTTCTGAAGTTCTCTAGGGTCTGGGCTGAGCATATTAGGAAGTAGTTTCTTCATGTCTAAAAAAACAAAGGAACAGAAGGTTTTCTTCATTACAGTATGCAAATGTCATGCTTTTTACAATAGATTTCTACATGCCACTCTCATCCAACACAGAAGCTGTATTAAATGTCCCTCTCTACTACATTGGTTGTGTTAAAAGACAGGAGAAAATAGTTCTTAGAGGCAGTACAACTTAGATGCACTACAAAAGGGGCCTCAAAGTCTGACATGAGGGAGAGGTAAACTACAATGAAAAAAATACAGGCAAGCTCATTTCACATGTACTGCATATACTGTAAGTACGAATTAAAGCAGAAGATAATAAAGCAAAAACACAAAAGTGAAGTACTAGCACAAACCGTACCTAAATTATCCAGTTCTAATAAATCATATCCAAAAAGGCATTTAGAGAATGCAGGTTAATAGTCAAAGCAACGAGTCAACCCTAGGCTCCATGGCATTTGAGGCAAAATAGTGATCAAATGTAGTTAAAAAAAAAAAAAATCAAACAGTTTTATGGAGCTCAAAAACACTTGCATAAAAACAATCATCATTCATGCTTGGAGGTAAAATCAGGGTCAATAGTTAACTGTAGGCTGTGCATCCTTCTGTGGCCTGTGGATGGGATGTTTAGTTTAGGGAAGTGCTGGATAAGGAATTTGGCACAGATTAACAAATGGCAACTACCCCGACCTATAACGCACATCATAGTCAAGTTTTCCCTGCTCACTTACCAGCTAACCTGCAACAAAACCAAACTGACCCTATTTAACAGATCATGTTAAAAACAAAGGGTTTCATCGCACACATTTACAAATATATGTGTAAGCTGCAGTGGCCACATCAAGGCAACCCAGTGTCCTAATTTTGAGAGTCTCCCAAGTTGGAGCACATATAGCAGTAGACAGATTAAGGGCATGGCTAGTTATAGGTTGGGGTGGTTGCCAATTGTTTGTCTAGTTGGCGAATGTGTGTCCTTGTACCTTTGAGGGATGGGCTCCCCCCCCAGAGTAAAATTGCCCTTAATCTATCCACTACTATATGTGCTCCAACTTGGGAGACTCAAAATTATAGCGTTAGATCTGCAGTGCACTGGGGTACCTCAACATTGCCATTGTGGCTTACACATATATTTGCAAATGTGTCTGACTAAACACATTGATTTAAATGTGAACGGTTAGGGTCAATTTAGTTTTGTTGCAGGGTAGCTGTTAAGTGAGCTTGGGAGTTTGTTTTCTTGCTATAGAATGACAGTCTGCCAATGTCCTTGTTTTATTGCTGAAGGGTATTGCAGAGCACATCTGTAGCACTTGGACTATAGGTGTAGTCTGCATGCCCATTTGTGTGAGCTCACCAGCCATAGAGCGGGAGCATTGGCAAGATGTCATTCTATGCCAAACCAACCCAGCAGTTCCCCAAGCCAAACATCCCATCCACAAGCCACAGGACAGGAGGGAGAATGGTCTACTCTTAAAGTGGGAGTAAACTGCAGCTTAAAAAAACAAGAAATAAAAAATAGGATTATAGTAATATTAGTTAAATATGCACTGAAGAGAGGCAATACTTATTGGGTTCTTGGAGTACCTATTTTTTCCTTTGAGCCACCATTTATCAGATTTAAATTTTCTCCAGGAAGTAACTCTAGCTGCTCTGTACATTCATGGAGTTCACCAAATTCAAAACTGCTCAAAGCCCTGTGAAAAAAAAAAAGAATTACAAAGAAAAATACAATGTTAAAGTTCAGGAACTGCAAAAATATTTTTATGCTGCATTAGCTGGAAAAGCAGGTATAAAAAACCCTCAAACAACAACTAAAACCATTTTGTCCATATATTCTTGTAGCCAAAAGGTCCCACTTGAAGGAACAAAGTAAATGTCTGCAGTGTGCAGGAATCGATTGTAACATTTACAGGGGTTAGACATAAAATGGAAACACTACATCAGGGGTACCAAATTAAAATTCACGGAGGTCCAGTCGGAAAAATATTCTTCCAGCAGAGGTCCAGATTGCATGTTTGTGCCATGACTCAGATCCTTAACATCACAACCCGCCACTCCTCTTAGGTTCACATCTCTGTGGCTGGAGAAAGTGCTCGACTTCTTCCCTGCCTTTCTTTTGGGCAGGGCAGCTCATTAAAATTAAAGGGCTGCCAAACCTGCGTGCAAATGTGAGGTTCAGATCTGTGCGTGCACATCACAGTCTCTTTCTTTATATCACAGTTCCCTTCCTTCACATCAAAATCCATCTTCACACTACTGTCCTCAGCCCCATTAATGTCCTCCACCGCCCCCTCACATTACTGTCCTCAGCGCCCCCTCACATTACTGGCGTAAAACCCCATTAATGCCCCCCCATTACAGCCCTTCACATTAAAATCATCACCCCCCCTTCACATTACAGTCTTCAGTCCCATTAAAGTCCCCCGCCGCCCCCTCCCCCCTCACATCACTGTCCTCAGCCCCCCCATCCCCCTCACATTACAGTCCTCAGCGCCCCCCCTCACATTACAGTCCTTAGCGCCTCCTTAACTTACTGTCCTAAGCCCCCCCCCCCCTCAAATTACTGTCCTAAGCCCCCATTAATGCCCCCCCTACATTACTGTCCTCAGCCACCCCCCCCCCCCACATTACAGTCCTCAGCACCCCCCTCACATTACAGTCTTCAGCCCCCCCTACCTCACATTACAGTCCTCAGTACCCCCCTCACATTTCTGTCCTCAGTAATTTGAGGGTATTTACATCCAAATCAGGAGAACGGTGTAGGAATTACAACAGTTTGCATATGTGCCTCCCACTTGTTAAGGGACCAAAAGTAATGGGACAATTGGCTTCTCAGCTGTTCCATGGTCAGGTGTGTGTGTTATTCCCTCATTATCCCAATTACAATGAGCAGATAAAAGGTCCAGAGTTCATTTCAAGTGTGCTATTTGCATTTGGAATCTGTTGCTGTCAACTCTTAAGATGAGATCCAAAGAGCTGTCACTATCAGTGAAGCAAGCCATCATTAGGTTGAAAAAACAAAACAAACCCATCAGAGAGATAGCAAAAACATTAGGCGTGGCCAAAACACAACTGTTTGGAACATTCTTAAAAAGAAGGAACACACCGGTGAGCTTAGCAACACCAAAAGACCCAGAAGACCACAGAAAAACAACTGTGGTGGATGACCGAAGAATTCTTTCCCTGGTGAAGAAAACACCCTTCACAACAGTTGGCCAGATCAAGAACACTCTCCAGGAGGTAGGTGTATGTGTGTCAAAGTCAACAATCAAGAGAGGACTTCACCAGAGTGAATACAGAGGGTTCACCACAAGATGTAAACCATTGGTGAGCCTCAAAAACAGGAAGGTCAGATTAGAGTTTGCCAAACGACATCTAAAAAAGCCTTCACAGTTCTGGAACAACATCCTATGGACAGATGAGACCAAGATCAACTTGTACCAGAGTGATGGGAAGAGAAGAGTATGGAGAAGGAAAGGAACTGCTCATGATCCTAAGCATACCACTTCATCAGTGAAGCATGGTGGTGGTAGTGTCATGGCGTGGGCATGTATGGCTGCCAATGGAACTGGTTCTCTTGTATTTATTGATGATGTGACTGCTGACAAAAGCTTTCACTTGCTGAAGACAAAATTGAAGGAAAATGCCCCAAGAACAAGCAGGAACTGAAGACAGTTGCAGTAGAGGCCTGGCAGAGCATCACCAGGGATGAAACCCAGCGTCTCGTGATGTCTATGCGTTCCAGACTTCAGGCTGTAATTGACTGCAAAGGATTTGCAACCAAGTATTAAAAAGTGAAAGTTTGATTTATGATTACTATTCTGTCCCATTACTTTTGGTCCCTTAACAAGTGGGAGGCACATATGCAAACTGTTGTAATTCCTACACCGTTCACCTGATTTGGATGTAAATACACTCAAATTAAAGCGGACAGTCTGCAGTTAAAGCACATCTTGTTTGTTTCATTTCAAATCCATTGTGGTGGTGTATAGAGCCAAAAATGTTAGAATTGGGTCAATGTCCCAATATTTATGGACCTGACTGTATTCTATTTTCATGGTTTCTGAACAAAGATTCTAACAGCAGAAATTCCCAGGTTCTTACTGCATACTTTCTCAGGTTATAAATTTGGGGGCTATGATGGTATCAGACAGCTACAAGATAAAGACTGGACATAATACCAAATTTCAAGATTAATGGACAAGTCTATGTCTGGATAGAACAAAAGAAAACTATTCACCATGATTTTTTTTTAATCCATGAACGTCTGGAAAAGAATTCATATTAAAACTTTACATTGCATATGGTGTTTAGTATTATTTGACAGGAATATTTTAACCAAAAATCAATTGTACCATCATTATTATTGCATGAAGTTGCTTAGTAATTTGGGTTTTATATTACTATATTCAATTTCCATATATATTTTATCTATATTAATTGGTGTTCATTAATACACATTGGTATATATTGTGGATATTCTATAAATAATTATTTTGAGTTCATTATATTACAATGTCTGTATACTACAGAAGGCATTAGATAATTAAGAAGTCTCAGTACAAATTACCTCAACAAATGTCTAAGATGTATAGGTAATTTTTTTTTTCCAGAATCACTTAGCTAATACATTATTTTCAGTGACACTGATCCTAGTCTGTCTCTAACCCATTCTGTCGAAAAAAAGCAGTTCTCTTAAATATGAGCATTTTTACAAGCTAGCGTTAAAGGTCAACTTTTGACATAACACAGGAGAAATCAAAATCATTCGTAATCCTATATTGCCCCCTTCAGGTAATTGGGATCATTTAGTAAAGAAAAGGACATCTAGTTTGACGTCATATGTAGGCGAGATAAGCTATGCCCACCTAGGTTTTTTGGGGTAATAAAAATTAGGAGACAGAGACAAGACAAGAAAACAACAGACGAACATAGACACACACACAGAAGTGAACAGACTTAAAGTTGACATCACTGACACCATAGTAAATATTGGAAACATAACTCATTTTTCTGCAAGCAGTTTATATTAGCCTTATATCTCCAGCTAACGGTTTAGTCCAGCAATGGGCAAACTACGGCCCGGCGGACCTTTTAATCCGGCCCGCGGAGCTAGGCTCCTCTCACAGTCCGCCCTGAAGACCGGTGTAGCATGAAATCTGTCTCCTATGAGGATCTGTCCCCCTCGACGTATCTGCGCATGTGCCGGAGATCGCCGATCGGCTGCTAATGCCTGAAACTGGCACATGCGCAGATACGTCGAGGGGGACAGATCCTCATAGGAGACAGATTTTCATGCTACACCGGAACGGCGCGGGACACGGCGAGAGGAAAGGTAAGTGAATTGACACAGGGGGGACTTGGGGACTTAATAGGGGGGATGAACTATGGGGGAATATTACTATACTTACTATGGATGACACATACACATCATTCATCTACTCTTGGTCCGGCCCCCGGGTCCAATATATGAACCCATTGCGGCCCTCAAGTCAAAAAGTTTGCCCACCCCTGGTTTAGTCTGATAACGGTTATGGTTAGCACCAGAATTGATGTGAAATAATTTTAACTGCAGTATAAATTATTTCCATATCGGTTATCTGGGGGGGGAATTCTATTTGAAATATACCTGTAGCTAATTTTAGCTTCTCGTCCATGGTTTAGCTGGATATATATGACAAAGCTGACAACTTAGTAGAACATTTGATCTTGACCTCAGATAGATTCTAAGCTTATTGGATTGGCCTGTGTTATTCTAAATCAATTCATGCCAAGGTATATGATGAGCTTTAAATCTCTGGCTGTAGAGAGATCATGAGGTCGATTTGCATAGACATTGTCACATGTTGCTGAGTTACTGATAGTTTCCTACACTGCATTTTTAGACAGATGATTCTAATTTATTAATATTTGAAAATAATTGCTGGCTTGAATTTCTAACCATTATTTTGGATTAGATCAGTGTACTGTTATTTTGAAAGGTTTTATTATTTATCATGACCCATTATATTTAATTACCATTTTGCACTGATTTTTTTTTTATCAACATATATTTTTGCACATTATTGCTTTTTAGTTTTCATATTAGCGCAAATAAAGAACTCTGATTTTCAGTTGATTTATGAAAAGGAGTAGAGAATCTCCCTAATTCCAGATCCCTGCCTATTTTCATAAATTATATACTGATTATTTTCTCAGAGTTAATGTCCTGACGCTCAGTAACCTCTAACATGACTCCGTATTACTAGCAGAGCATGCAGTGAATGACGAAGAATGTTACGTCACTTCTGCTTTCAACACAAAACATGTTGTCACATGTCATTCTTGCTTCTGAGCCCCAACTGCCTGTGTACATACACAGACCATGGGGCTTTACACAGCCCCCTCACCATAGGATTTGATTGACAGCAGCAGGAGCCAATGGCTCTAAAAAAAGGGGATCCTGAAACCTTTTGCTGTGGAAGTAGAATCCTTCCTCCAGTAACATCTTGAATTGACATGAATTTGTCAAGTGCCTTCATATGTGGGAGGCGTCTTTTACAGGCAGCTTCAGCTGACCAGAAGTTGAAGCATAGGGTTCTGCACATGTGAAAAGAAAATCAGAGCCATTTTGGAGTTTTGCAACTTGTTCTAGGGTATCCACACAAAAGAGCAAAGCAAACGGCAACCGATACACTAAAGTATGGTCCTGGAATACAGAATTGTGTTGATTGTTCACTGCCCTAGTTCAATTAGTTGCAATTAAGCAAATAGAGATTGTAGAAATAGCTGATTGCAGAACTAGGTTGGAAAGAGTAAAGAGAGCCTTTAAGAGTGTCTCTGTCATCAGAATCTTTGAAAGAATGAACATTTTCTGTAGGTAAAGTGAGATGTTTAAAGAATGAAAAAAAAGATAAATTGAGTTCCCCCATATAACTCCTCTCACTCCAAGCAATCCTCAGTTCTGTAACAAGCAATCATGATCACAGATGGGAGAAGGTCTGCATCTTGTAATGTATTCCAAGAAATGGATTCTACAGGCAAGTTAAAAATCCAATTTTCTTGACCATACAGCACAGGATACAGGCAGATTCAGAGACCACAGGGATGTCCCCAAACAATACCAATGAGGGAAGGGTTAAAACTGTACCAATGCTAGCCAACATAGCCCTTGGAACAACCAAAAAGAGCCAAACTCAAAAAACAGCATCCTGAAGCACTTGGCGGCCAAAAGCTGCATCCACCTAGGCCTAAACACCCACCCAGTAAACCTTAGTATAAACATGTGAACCGAAGACAAGGTGGCGGCTTAAGGCTTTTAAGGAGCTGAGGAATGCTGGGAGTGTAGGGATTATATGAGGGTCCTCATAGCTTTCCTTGCAAGTGACCAATCACCTGTGTATAACCCACTTGTCTCTGAATCTGCTTGTATCCCATACTATATTATCAAGAAAAATGGTTAGGCCTTTTTAAGCAAAGCAGAAAAAAAGGCATTCAACCCCCTAGGACATCAACAAAAACTGAGGCATGCTGGTTAGAGGAGGGGTTATATGGGGGCTGGCTTACAACTTTTCTGTTTGCCAGTGTTCCAACCTCCTAAAGACACCAGTATACTCCACTCTTTCTGAATTCTAGTGTCCCTCAATGAACGATGCAGAAAATAAAAAAAAAAAAAAAAAAAAAAAAAAAAAAAAAAACTGATCTCCCAAACAAGTAAATACTGATAATATTATAATATTTACCATTTTAAAGAACACTCTACATTTGAAAGTATGGATATATATGGGAAAAAAAAAAGTAAAAGTACGAAGAGCTCACTTTATATAGTTGAAGTCTGTCTTCAGGTTAACAGAGCTGCCCACTGCACTTTTCTTCAGGTCATGCATGCTATTTTGCCACTCCTGGACTGCAGCCCAGTCAGCAATTGAAATATAGCACTCACAAGCCTTGTTGCTCAAGTAGTTGATCACTTCAGGCACAGGGTCACTAGGCTTTGTCAGAACAGTTTTACGGACATCTCCTAGAAAACACAAACCGTATATTTGTCTAAGTCTTATAAAAATATACTAGGAAACCAGAAGTCTGCGGTAAACTGAAATAATTTACTGGAAAACCGAAAAGCTTTAACATCTTAGTTTCTTTACCAAGCCTAATACAATATTGAATATGAAAAATGGGACTTACCTGTAACTTCCATATCTTGGAATACAGTGCAAGACACAGGAGTTGATTCTTAGACCATGGTTATATGTGGCTGCCTTCAGGTAAATGGACACTGGCAAAAGCTTTGCTGGGAATCGTCCCCAGCATGTGTATCCATTTAACCCCAGCCACTCCACAAGACTCCAGTACAGGTGAAGAAAAGGGGCCTGTGTCCTGTAATGTACTCCAAAATAGCACAGGATGCAGGAGGTGATTCTTAGACCTAGGGACATCACCAAGCAATAAAACAAGGGGTGGGCAACAAAACAGCCAAAACTACAGCAGCAAATTCTCAGGAAGAACAAAAAGGGTCAACAGACCCCATCAGATGACAGCAGAAACCCCATGTAACTGAAGCAGGGTCAACAGAAGCTCAAAAAGCCAGCTGTCAAAAAAATGGTTTTGAAAACGTGAACAGAGCAGTGGTTCTATGACCCTTGAGAAGGACTGTTCATAGATGCTGTAACGAAGCCTTAACCATCTTTTGTTCAAGTAACATCGTATTGTGATCCTTGGGGGGGGGGGGGAAAAAAAAAAACAAAAATCACATTTTTTCCAGAGCAGCCTGTATTTCTCCTGAGGTTACCTGTGGATTTTCCTTAGTATCCTGAACAATTATTCTGGCAGGTGTGGCTTTTGTGACTTTCTTGACCTTGGCATCAAGAGATCCCGAATTTTCCATTTTTTTAAATAACTGATTGAATAGTACTGACTGGCATATTCACAGCTTTGGATATCTCTTGATATCCTTTTCCATCTTTATAACGTTCCATTGCCTTGTTACGCAGCTCTTTTGACTGCTCCCCATGGCTTCACGTGACAGCTAACAAACTCATTGACAGTGATTGATATTGGATAGTGTATATGGAGGTTTACCATTTGTGTGTTGGCTTGTTTTTTTTCTGTTGAACTGGATGAACTTGTGTCTTTTTTCAACCAGATTAACTATGTAACTAATTATACACAGACATTAATTGTGGGAAACTAACCTTTAAAGGATACGTTCACCCTTTAACAAAAAATAATAAATGCACTTTTTTTTTTTTGCATGTAAAAAAAAAAAAAAAAAAAAAAAAAAAAAAAGGTGTATTTACTATTTTTTTGTTTTAGGGACCTGGAAAGCATTGCACCAGTGATCAGTAGATCGCTGGTGCCATGCAAATCTCCTGCAGACTGTCAGTGTGTCTATGTGCTCGTATGGGCAGCAGATACACACGGACAGGAAAAATCATTGAACTATCACAATGCTCAACAGCACCATGGTAGTTCATTGATGAATACAATCCGACAGACCAAAGGCTGTTGGAACCTCGTTTTCTCATTCACAGAATACTGTGAATAAGTGACGTGGCCAGGCTGGCAGAGGCCACACAGACACTTTTTTAAAAATCTTAGGACAGCTAGCGGGGGGGGGGGGGGGGGGGGTGAGAGAAGATCCCCCTGTTAGCTGTCACAACAGGGGGTGTGGGGACAGGATCCTGAATATGGGTATAACATGTTACAAAAAGTAAATTTATCATCTGCCATTTTAACCTGTGTGTGCCACCTTGTGTGTTTGTACCAAAGCTAAACGATCCCGGGTATGTAGACTTTTGATCAGGGCCATTTGAGTGATTTCTGTTATCATTAGGATTTAAAAAAAGGAGCCAGACAACTACGTGATAATAAATGGCTTCATTTGATCACTATCCTTAAAAAAAGATAAGTTCACCTTTGTTCACATTTTTTTTTAATCTAAAACTCCAGCTCCCCTATGTACCAATATAGCATTAATGTACTTTTGCAGAAATTCAAAAGCCTTTCAATTTTTCTACCCACTAATGTCAGTGTCCAGATGGCTGTCCAAAAAGCTTCTCCATTACTTTTGCCATATTTCTTGCAGATATTTTAGGTCATAATACAGGAAGGAGTTGACCAGCTGACATCATTAGCACACACCCTGCATGCTCTACCCTCCTACTTACGACCCACTTCCAGGTGCACGAATATTAAATGAAAAGCAATCAATCAGTGATCACTATTCTCACTAAACACACAGATATCGAATTTTATTTTTCTACCTTTCATCTTGCATAGAACATTCATTTGGCAGAGTGCGCTGAGTGAACAGATAACAGCCTATGTGGAGAGAGCTGTAGTATTGAAAACAGGAGAATTGTGTTCTGGGTTCTGTAAAGTTCAGATACACTATACAATCTGATTGTAAAATCTCCTTTAGATCTACTATCAACTATGTAGTGCAAGGGCCTGCCTGATTGAATACAGAATGATTGGGTAGATAGGTAGGTCCTCCTATTCCATATTTCTGGAAAATCTAAAGGAAATTGTACAGCTAGAATTTAGAAGAAAAAAAAAAAAAAAGGGGGGAACTCCTTTTAAGTCAGTTTTTTTGCCATAATCAATAATACTTTCAATATCAATCCAAGGGCATGCAAACTTTTGACCACAACTGTACACAAATGGACAGTTTGTCTAAGTCTTTGGGCAACACATAAGAACTAAAAATCAACAGATTTAATACAAATCTTTCAACATACCATTTGCGTGTTTGGGGCTGGCAGAGGTGCTGCTGGAATTAGCCAATTTTAAAACGATCTTATCAAAGCCAGGAGTACTGCAGTCCACCCCAGTCATGGCACATAAATGTTCTTGGTATTCCACTGCAGCTTTCTCAAACCTATCAAAAAAGTAGGTTATAAATTACAACCAAAATTATAAAATATTTTTATAAAAACTTTAAATCTTTTTGGATCTTCGAAATAATAAAAACAAAAAGTCATAAAAGCACCTTGATTTTTGATTTTCCCAAGCAAAAACATTTTTGTTACTCACCGTAAAATGTCTTTTCTCAGAGTTCATTAATGGACACAGTTTTTCTAATTCTTGACCATAGGGTTTTAACACCGCCTACAAAAAGTAGGAAGATAAACAAAAAAACACAGCAATGCCTATGGGCAGTCCCCTCTGGCATAACTCTCCCCCACCCTCTGCTATAGGCAACCCATCTAGAAGCAAAGCAGTGTCAGAACAATAAACTCCAATAGAGGGGTGGGTTCTATGTCCCTCAATTAACTCAGAGAAAGGGATCTTAAAGGTAACAAAAAGCCCATTTTCTCTTAGTCATTGGCGGACAAAGCTCTTCTAATTCTTGACCATAGAGACATCCCAAAGCAGTGCCTCCAAGAGGGGTGGGCAGACAACTGGAACAAACAGGCAAAAAAATGCCAACCACACAAAACATCCCCTGAGGGATGAGAAAACAAAAAACAAACAGCCACCTGCAAAAATCTGTGCCCAAAACAAGCAGATCAAGGATGCAAATACTTAAAATTTGTAAAATGTTTGTACATGCACAACCAAGCAGCCGCCTTGCAAAATGAAGACACATACACCTGATGCCAAAAGCCCAGGAAGCACCAAGCACCCTAGTAGAGCACAACATAACAGGGAAGGGAGAAGCCAAACCCTTAATAGCATATGCCTGAACTCTCCTCTGCCAAATCCAACTGGAAAAACAGTGGCAGAGGAGGCTGCAGGCTTTTCTCAGGGCTGTCTGAGTACAAAAACATAAATCGCATCTCTGGAAGGAGACCATAGTGGACAGATACACCCAAAGAGTACATTGCAACCTCTGCAGGATGTGACAGCGAAGGACACAAAAAAGGCAGGACAAAGCCCTCCTTCAGGTGAAAATCTGACCATCGTTGCTGAAAGTTAGGACACTGATGGGAAACCACCTAATATCTAAGTCCTACAGAGCCACACAATAAACCCCTTAGACAAAGGTGCAAATTGGGCAGTGCATGACTAAAGGACGCTGAAGGAAGACAACAAAGGAAGAAAACTGACACTAAAAAAAGGGTACCCAATGCAAGGTTTTGTACCACAGCCTGTTGGAGAAAGGCCGACCCGTGAGCCACTGAAAGGAATATAGATGGACACCCAGAGACAAAATAAGCCTTCCATGTGAAAAGAAATAAAGTTCATCACAAGTATTCAGATCCTCTTCACTTTTTTTGTTATGTTTCAGCCATTGTTACAGTTTAAATTCTTTTTTCTCATTATTCTACACTCAGTACCCCATGATGACAAAGTGTAAACTGAATTTTAGAAACGTCTGTGAATTAAAAACAAAAAAACTGAAATTGCACATGTACTTAAGTATTCAGACCCTTTATTCAGTACTTTGTTGAAGCACATTTGGTAGCAAGTACAGCCTCAAGTATTTTCGGGTATGACACAAGCTTTGCACACCTGGAATGGAGGATTTTCTGCCATTCTCCTTTGTTAATCCTCTCAAGTTCAGTCAGCTTGAATGGGGACTGTTGGTGGAAAGCCATTTTCAGGCCTCTCTAGAGATATTCAATAGGGTTCAAGTCAGGGCTCTGGCTGGGCCACTCTAGGACAATCAGAGAGTTGTCCTTAAGCCACTCCTCTATGTTTGTCTTGGCTATGTGCTTAGGATTGTCGTCATGTTGGAAGGTGAACCTTTGGTCCAGTCTGAGGACCTGGACACTGTGGAACAGGTTTTCAGTGAGGATATCTCTGTACTTTACTTCCTTCTGGTTTCCCTCAACCCTTACAAGTCCATGTCATTCAACCAATAAAAAGGAAAAAAATATATATATATATATATATACATATATACATATATATATATATATATATATACACACATACACATATATACACACACATATACATACACACACACACACACACACACACACACACACACAGGTGAAACTCAAAAAAGTTAGAATATCGTGCAAAAGTTCCATTTATTTTAGTAATGCAACTTAAAAGGTGAAACTAATATATGAGATAGACTCATTACATGCAAAGCAAGATAGTTCAAGCCGTAATTTGTCATAGTTGTGATGATTATGGCTTACAGCTCATGAAAACCCCAAATCTACAATTTCAGAAAATTTGAATATTACATGCAATCAATAAAACAAGGTTTGGACATAGAACAATATCGGACCTCTGAAAAGTATAAGCATGCATATGAACTCAGTACTTGGTTTGGGCCCCTTTTGCAGCAATTACTGCCTCAATGCGGTATGGCATGGAAGATATCAGCCTGTGGCACTGCTGAGGTGTTATGGAAGACCAGGATGCTTCAATAGCGGCCTTCAGCTCTTCTGCATTGTTTGGTCTCATGTCTCATCTTTCTCTTGGCAATGCCCCATAGATTCTCTATGGGGTTCAGGTTGGGCGAGTTTGCTGGCCAATTAAGCACAGTAATCCATCATAGAAACACTGGTAATTGAACCAGGTTTTGGTGCTTTTCGCAGTGTGGGCAGGTGCCAAGTCCTGCTGGAAAATGAAGTCGGCATCCCCATAAAGCTCGTCTGTGGAAGGCAGCATGAAGTGCTCCAAAATCTCCTGGTAGACGGCTGCGTTGACCATGGACTTAATGAAGCACAGTGGACCAACACCAGCAGATGACATGGCTCCTCAAATCAACACAGAGTGTGGAAACTTCACACTGGACTTCAAGCATCTTGCAGTGTATGCCTCTCCATTATTCCTCCATACTCTGGGTCCTTGGTTTCCAAATGAGATGCAAAAGTTGCTCTCATCAGAAAAGAGGAATTTGGACCAATGAGCAACAGACCAGGTCTGTTTTTATTTAGCCCAGGTAAGACGCTTCTGACGTTGTTTGTTGTTCAGGAGCAGCTTCACAAGAGGAATATGACATTTGAAGCCCATGTCCAGGATCCGTCTGTGTGTGGTGGCTCTTGATGCACTGATTCCAGCCTCAGTCCACTCCTTGTGAAAGTCCCCAACACTTTTGAATGGCCTTTTCCTGACAATCCTTTCCAGGCTGCAGTCATCCCTGCTGCTTGTGCACCTTTTTCTTCCACACTTTTCCCTTCCACATAACTTTCTATTAATGTGCTTTGATACAGCACTTTGGGAACATCCAACTTCTTTTGCATTTACCTTTTGAGGCTTTCCCTCCTTATGGAGGGTGTCAATGATGGTTTTCTGCACAACTGTCAGGTCAGCAGTCTTTCCCATGATTGTGAAGCCATAATCATCACAACTATGACAAATTACGGCTTGAACTATCTTGCTTTGCATGTAATGAGTCTATCTCATATATATTAGTTTCACCTTTTAAGTTGCATTACTGAAATAAATGAACTTTTTCACGATATTCTAACTTTTTCGAGTTTCACCTGTATACACGTACAATCCTATACCCACAGCTGATCCAGGGGAATGAAAATAAAAAACAGAAAATCATGATCCATTTTGCTCCAGCAGGGAGAAAAATTATTTCCTGATCCCCCAAGAGGCAATCAGATATTCCCTGGATCAACTTTACCTGTAAATGCTAGCATCCAGTTATATTATGTGGATTTAGGGAAGAATCTAGACCTTTTTTAAAACAATCTACTGAGCTGGCCAGAACCAGCTCTTGAGGGAGTCTATTTCACATTTTTTGCAGCTCTTCATGTGAAAAACCTTTCCGAATTTGGAGAATTTATTTTCCTCCAGATGTAGAATGTCCCCTTGCACTCTGATGGCCTTAAAGTGAATAACTCTACACCGATTTCACTATAAAAGACCACCTATGTATTTATAAATTTTGTTCATACCACCATCCCACCCTCTTAATCTCCTCTTCTTAAGAGAATAAATTCAGTTCCTCTATTCTTTCCTCGTAGTTGAGCTCCTCCATGCCTTTTATCAGTATGGTTGCCCTTCTCTGCACTCTCCAATTCTCCCATATTCTTTTCTGTGAATTGGTGCCCAAAACTGAACTGCATATTTCAGATGAGGTATTACTAATTATTTGTACAGGGGTAAAATATCTTTCTGGAGCCTATACCCCTCAATACATGAAAGGATTTTGCTCTTTGGAAACCGCAGCTTGGCACTACATGCTATTAAAGCTTAGATCCTTCTCCACCATTGAATCCCCCAGTTGTACTCCCACTAGTATGTATGATGCATGCATATTCTTAGCCCCCAAGTGTATAACTTTACATTTCTCAACATTATACCTCATTTGCCATAGTTGCCCAATAAAACAGTGCACCGAGGTCAGCTTGTAAATTAGAGACATCCTGTAAGGATGTTATTCCACTGCATAGATTATCCGCATTGACTGAAATGGCACTTTTAATCCCAGACCCTATATCATTTATAAATAGATTAAAAAGTAAGGGTTCCAACACTGAACCTTGGGGTACACCACTAACAACCCTAGACCATTTAGAGCATGAATCATGTACCACTACTCTCTGAATATGGTCTTCTTGAGACAGTTTTCTATTCATTTATAAAGTGATTTTTCCAACCCTGTAGACTTTGCAAAATCCAAGTATACAAAGTCCACAGCCACTCCTGTGTCTAAGGTTTTGCTTACCTCCTCAAAAAGAATGAAGATTTGTTTGACAACGTCTGTCTTTAATGAATCCATGCTGTCTGCTTAAAATATTTTTTTTCCTGAAATAACTAATCTATGTGGTCTTTAGTTAAACTCTCCAGTATCTTCCCAGCTATAGAAGTTAAACAGGTCTATAGTTACTGGGCTTAGTAAAGACTTTGCCCCCCTTTTTAAAAATAGGCACCACATTAGCATATTACCACTGGATTGGCATAAGGCCAGTCATTAAAGAGTCCCTAAAAATTTAAAACAATGGCTTTGAAATGAGA